TATTTGTTGAGAAACGGAGGGTGGGGGGGAGTGGAGGAAGAGGAAGGCTTTGATATGCCAGCATCTGGAGGGATGAGGTTTTCATTCTACTGTGGGCAACTGTTCCCACTGCAGGGATTGCACGTGTGTTCTGTGTAGGGCTGGCTGCGTGCTGGGGGAAAAGAAAGCATGTGTAAAAAGAAGAAAAACAGTCTTTTTTTGTTTCTCTTGGTGCTTGTTGGGCTTGTTTGAGGCTGAAGGAGTTGGGGATGATTTCCCTGTAAAGTCTTGAAAGGCTAAAGAGCAGGATATCAGCAGTGGGGATGTGGGAAAGCTGCTTAGCAGCAGAAAATGAGAGGGATTTACTGGTCAGGCAGAGGAGGACCTGCGGGGGGGGGTGCTGCAGATCTGGCTCCTCCAGCTTTTGAGGTGCCTCACAGGAGCTGCTCAGCTGGGGCAGGTTTGTCTGGAGGCCTCTTCCCTCTCCACGTGTCGTGAGTTTGGCCGAGGATGCTGTGCAACAATCTCCTGTCTCTTTTTATTCCCCCCTGGGAGTGCTGCAGGAAGGCCACGGCGTGGGACAGCCCCTCTCCCTTTGGGGGGCAGCTCACAAAACCTCTCCCCAGCCCCTGCTCCCCTAAATTCATCCCCAGCACATCCTGGCCAAGCTGCCACGTGGCGAAACGTGCTGGGCAAGGGCTCGTGCTCCTGGCAGGGGTATTAACAGAGGTGATGCCACAGCCAGCAAGGAGGGAGATGCAACTTTGGGGTGGGAGTGGGTGGGTTTGGGTCCTTCTCCAAGCTTTTGGGGACTGTTTGGCTTCTGGTGGCAGCAGAGGCAGGCTGATAGCTGCACGTCTCATCCCTCAGGTTCACTCTAGGATGCTCAGTGCAGTCTAGCAAGGGTCAGACACTCAGATTTCTGTCCTGGCTGCAAGTTGTCCCAGAGCTGAGCGGGTGAGGTTTGAGAAGGGCTGAGTGGAATTTGGTGTCAGAAGCTGGGAGCGGCCGCTCAGCCCTCCCTTGTTTGGAGAAGGAAAAAAACATAGAGAGCAGCCCTCTCCATCGTGCCTTTCTTCCCTCTCCGTGTCCACATGCCATTCCTGCCTCTCCCTGTAGCCAACCTCCTGCAGCAGGAGCTGCTTTAAACAATAGCTCTTTCATTTCTGAAGCTCTGCCCCCGCCAGCAGCCCTCCCGTGGGTTGGGGGCAGTCACATTCCCCCACCCCGGCAAAGAAAACTCCTGGAAGCACCCCCTCAATCCATGCTCTTTCAAAAGAAGCTGCAGAATCTGCCCCAGCTTGCTCAGGAGGCTGCTCCTCATCCCTCTGGATTTGCTCTCCTGCAGACGAGGTGGGCCGGGGATGCTCGCTGAGGGGTGGGAGCTGCTGCGGGAGCTCTGGGGTTAAATGCACCTCCCTGCTCTCTGCTCTCAGGTCAGAGCTATCTAGGGCATCTTTTAACTGCTCGTATCCTTTTAATTAAACATGGATTGGGAGCAAGGGGTGGGTTCCTGGCTGCTCGGGTGGAGCTTGCCTGAGTTCTGCTCCAGCTCCAGCCCTCTCCCCCCCCCTGCCCTGCGGCGTGGCTCGGTTTGGATGCCAGGGAAACAACCACCCTGTTTTGAAGCTGTTTGTAATCTCCCTGGGCCGTGACACCCCAACTGCATCACCTTGTGCTAATATTTGCTCCAGGAAGCATTTGGCTTTGGCTGCTGTGGGAGCAGAACTGAGGGTTCCTGCTGTGTCCCAGGGCTCCCGCTGCGTCCCTGCGCCCTGCTCGGAGCTGCTGCCTTGCTTTGGTTCATCCTTCTCCTGTGTGTCCCATCCTGACAGGGCTGGGAGAGTCAAGAAACCAGAGATTAGAGACTTCCTGTCACCTTTCACACCCAGCCAGCCGATGAGCTTCAGCAAAAACCTGCAAGAGAGTATTTGGGCCACTGAATGTGGGTAGTGGCTTGCCCGTCTTGCCTCGCCAGTCCCTCCACTGGGCTCCTCTGTCTCAGTTGCAGCCTTCCTGAGAGGTCAGATCACCAACCAGGGGCAGATGGACCTACCCCAAACCTTTTCTTGCCTGCTCAAGAAATAAAAGTGCAGAAGAAAAACCCCCCTGAGCTGCTGCCTGGAGGAAGCAATGCTGGGATGTCCACCAGCAGCATCTCACCTGCTGCCTCACAGTTCACTGGGGCCAAGCTGGATGCTCCAGGCAATGTGGGGATGCTCCTTCCTCTCTCTCATCCTTCAAACAACAGGAAAGCTTCCTGAATGCTCTCCTGAGAAAGGCAGCTGCTACTTGCCAACCTTCAGAGGCTCCAGCAGCACGACAAGATGCCTGGAGCAGCTCTTGGAGTCTTGGCTCCCAGTCGTGAAGCTGTAGGTGAAACAAGGAGCTGGTGAGGGCTTCTCCTGGCTAGCACCAGGCAGTGGTTTGTCTCCCTGCCTGGCAGATCTGGGAATGCAGGGATGGGGATGGCACACACGGTCCCTCCTCCCCTCCTCCCGTGCTGAAACCTCCCAGTTTAATTAGAGCCAGCAGAGAGAGAACCTCAATCTTATTATTCCTTCCCAGCAGGGCAGCAGTAGCATTTCTTGGACGTCAAAAGGAGGATTAAATGAGTCTGCAAGTGAAGGGTGGGGGGTTTTTTTTGCCTCCTCCACGTCTCCAGGAGGGTGTTAAGCCCCCAGAATCACTGTGGTGATCGATGCCTTTGGCACAGCACAGACCCCCTGACTGCAGCTGAGCTCCTTGCCAGGGGTGTGAGCTGCAGCTTTTGGGGCAAACCTGTGGGTGGGAGGAAAAAAAGTGGGGCTGGAGTTGCTTGGCATGAAGCTTGCCCGACCAGGTGGATTCACCTGCAGGTTTCTGGAGATGTCACCTTGGTGAGAATGATCCCTGCTGCTTTTTTTTGGGGGGTGAGGGATTTTGGCAGGGCCCGGGTGGTGGCAGCTGGGAACACGCTTTGCTCTGCTGAGCTTGCCCTGGCAGGCTGAGCAGCTGCTGCCTGGGGTGGATTTTCTGGACTTGGTGTGTCTAGAGAGGAACAGGCACCTCCCAAGCTCAGAGCTGGCTCGTCAGGGTATGTGCTGGCACCCCAAGCGTGGAGCAGGAGGCCAAAAAAAGGCCAGAAATGCCACTCGGGTGCCTTTGCCATCTGCAGGCACCTCTGGGGTGGTGATAGCCCTTCAAGGCTTCCCCAGGTGCTTGCTGGCAGTTGGGTGCCATCCTGGCACGCTCTCACTGGGTCCTGGGGGCTTGTGAAGACCTTTATAGCATCCCAGACTGGGTTGGGTGGGAAGGGACCTTTCAAGGTCACCTTGTCCAACCCCCCTGCAGGGAGCAGGGACATCCCCAACTAGAGCAGGGTGCTCAGAGCTTGGTCCAACCTCCCCTGGGATGGTTCCAGGGATGGGGCAGCGACCGCCTCTCTGGGCAGCCTGGGCCAGGGGCTCAGCACCCTCAGCATGAACAATTTCTTCCTTCTCTCTAGTCCAAATCTCCCTCTTTTAGCTTAAACCCATCCCCCCTTTTCCTGTTCCTGCTCAAAAACTTGTCCCCAGCTTTCTAATAGACCCCTTGGAAGGCTGCAATAAGCTCTCCCCATCTCCCCATGAAGCCACATCTGTGGCTTCAGCAGAAGAATGGGATCTAGAGCTGAGCTGGTTGAACCAGGAGAGTGGTGCTCATGGTAATAACAAGCATTTCCTCCTCACATTGTGCTTGGTAACTGGATTTTTGGGGGGCTGAACGTGAGCACACAGGACAGAGTGGCCAGTTTGGCATCCCCAAGTGCCTTTGAAACGTTGATTTCCTAATGGCAACTGATTACCTAAAGGCTTTTTCCCCTCCTCAAAGGCTTTTTCTTCTTCCTCAAGAAAGCCAGGAACCATTTTGGAATCCCTGTGGGAGCAGGAGGGTTCCAGAGGCCAAAAAAAAAATAAAAAGACTTGATAAAAATCAAGTATTTGATGTTGAAGTAAACAAACCTGTATTGTTCATCCAGAACTGGAGCTTTGAGCACAAACAGGAGAGATCCTGGCAGTGCCCCACGTCGAGGGCCTGGGAGGCAGTGCCTGTTTCCCACACTGCTTTTGATGGCTCTGTAGGGGATTTGCTCTCTGTTTGGACCAGTCTGGGGCAGGAGAATCACTAATTTTGGCTGAGCTGGATGTCCTGCATCCCCAGGGGTTGCTCTTTGCTTTGCCACACCAGCGTGGGGCTGGGAAGGAAAGGTTCCTTTCCCTTTGGGCTGCAGGGAAGGATGTTTTTAGGGGGTTTTAATAAAGCATTTACTATCTGTCAACTCAGGCAGTTGACTGGTGAGGTTTAGGGAGCAGGGGTCTTTTCTTAGACCAAGCTGTGTTTAGAAGGAAGCTGATAAACCCTTCACATACACAGCCCAGAGCTCAGACAAGGTCTTTACACCTTGTCCAACATCTCTTTTCACTAGTTTTAGGACAGGCATCAGAGAGGCTGAATAAATGGATTTGAAACCTTCACTGTGGCTTCTGCAGGTCCCTTTATCTTCTGCTTACAAAGAATTCAACCTCCCCCCGTGCCCCAGATCCTGAGCTCCTCCAGCATTTCCCTGAGGAGAGATGGTTTAAGGTTTTGGGAGGTCTCTGCTCCCTCCAAACTCTGCTCTTGTGCTGGCTGCTGGGAGCAGAGCGTGTTCCTTCCCTGTTTACTTGCATTTTGCTGTGTGTGAAACCCAAACCTTGGCTGAAAATGGAGCTGAGAGACAATTCTGCCACTTGCTTTTTCCAGCAAACGTTGGAGCTGTGTGGTGTGACTGCAGGAGCTGTGTCACTCCTGGTGGGTGAGGAATACCCAGGCAGAGCCATGCCTTGGGAGGGGTTGGTTTTTTTTTGGTGTGCTTTGGGCTGTTCCTGCCACCTCTGTTCTCTTACAGATGCTGTCTGGACCACCCCTCTTCCCTTTCTGTCCCTACTGCATGAGGTCTGAGGAGCTTTGTGCAGTTAGAGCTGGGCCTGATTCCTCCTCCTCTGTCCTTTCCCTGCAGCTGGTCAGCGAGAAGGTCGGAGGGGCTGAAGGGACCAAGCTTGATGATGACTTCAAGGAGATGGAAAAGGTGAGTAGGGAACAAGAGAAATCTCCAAACCCATCCCTTGAACTCCTCTGGGCCCTTGCTGAAGCCTTGGGCTGATCTTCACTGCTGCTGGGTCTTCTCATCTTCCCTACAGAAAGTGGACGTGACCAGCAAGGCGGTTACAGAAGTACTGACCAGAACAATAGAGTACCTCCAGCCAAACCCAGGTGAGTGCCTGGACCTCTCCAGGCCCCTTCCCTCCCCAGTTTTTCAAGGAAAGAGGCAGAAAGGGACCAGAGAGCCATCAGAGAGAACCTTTTTAGCCCTGAGACGGTGGTCACCAGCCCACGTTTGAGATCAAGTGGAGATCCAGATCCCCGTCTCACCCTGGGCTGTGTTCCTGGGCTGTAAGATGCTGCTGCTGCTGTTGAACAGTGACCAAACAGACACGTTTTTCACCTTGGACCTGAGGAGGCCCTGGAAGGGAGCTGTTTTTCTTGGGATGTCCAGAAGAAGTGGCGTTTTTGGGCTGGGAAGGGGTGGCTGGCTCTGGCAGGCATCGCCTTTGGAGCCTGCTGTGCTGCATGCCTCCAGCCAGCTGGTTCAGAGAGCACTCCAGGGCTGTGGGAGGGCTGGGGAACTCCTCTGGTGAGCTGTGAGGAACTATTTTTTGCTTGCTGCCTTGGAAAAGAAACTTCTCTTTTCATCGCCAGTATTTCTGGTAGACGAAGACAATGGAGCTTCTTGGCTTTGGGTGTAGCTTGAGGGGGGGGGGAAGAGTATGATAAAAAAAAAGAAGTTGGCTGTGGCCAGCAGCTGCTGGCAAGTCCAAATGACTGCAAACACGGCCGTGGCTGTTCCTCTGCCAGCTTCCAGGGCCAAGCTCACCATGCTGAACACCATGTCGAAGATCCGCGGGCAGGTGAAGAACCCGGGGTACCCCCAGTCTGAGGGGCTGCTGGGGGAGAGCATGATCCGCTATGGCAAGGAGCTGGGCGAGGACTCCAACTTTGGTGAGTAGCCCCCCAGGAGGGGATGAAAGCTGCTGCCAAATCCCCAAGCTCTTGGTTTGAGTTCTGGAAGGGCTGCGGGACCTTTTCGCGTCGCCTAAAAACTCTGTGGGCTCTCAAAAAAAAAAGGTCCCAAGGCTTCAACCCGGGGTGAGCAGAGCCCACGTGTCCTGGATCCCAACCCCTGGCATCAATTGCAGCCCCCCCTCTTAGTGCTTTGTTATTAAATTTGCACCTAGGGATAAAAAAATGCTTCTAAATTGGACAACAGTGAGGTGGAAACGACTGAACGAGATCTGGAGTTTCTACTTTCCAGCCAGAGCTCTGCTCCAGCCAAAAAATCCTTTTGCCTGGCGATTCCTCCCGACCACGTGTGACTTGCAGGGAGGAGGAGGGGACGAAGCTTTTTGGTGACATCAGTTTTAATCCCCTAAAACATCAGCCTGGGCACATGACAGAGCTGGTGCAGTGCACAGCTGCTGCTCCCAGCCTCGCCTCGGGGAAACCAAAAACCTCTGGCTGCTCTCTGGGAGGGAGGAGGGATTCTCCAGAGCATCTCTGGCCACTCCAAGTCCTTCCATCCCTCGTGGCTCGCAGGAACTGGAGTCATTACAAAGAGAGAGGGGAAGGAAGTTTTTAAAAGCACACACCAAGCTTGATTTCCTTTAATAGCCTCTCTTTAAAGGAACACTTAACTGGGTAATTTCAGTGCTGCATCCTCTAGGACAATCCTAATCCTAGGGCAGCTTATCTAGAGTCACTACAACTGGAATAACTCTTCTGGTGTATTTATTTTTGCAGCTGGACAGTGGAGTGATGTTCTCACTTCACCCTCTGTTGCACTCGTGTATCCTCCTGGGCTAACGTAGGGCTGGAAAGGTCTCTGCCAATGCTGCACAGGAATAATTTCATCTCTAAATGGTTTCCCCTGCAATAAAAAGCCAAGGCTAAACAGGCTTTGCTGCAAGTTTGTCTGGCTTAACTGTCATTGTGGCAGGAGCCTTAGAAAAGCAGGAAGCTAAATTGGTTTCAATAAGCAACTCTGAGCCCTTTAATTCAGCAGGGAGGAGAAGGGATAAGGTTGGCTGCTGGAGGTTAGAATAAAAGGCTGCAAACTTGCTGCCAGCATCTGGGGGAACTCGAAAAGTCGGTCAGAGCACTTCTGGGCTTCAAATTGCCTGGACAAAAGGATGGCCAAGCTGGAGCAGACTGACTGTGCCTCTGCCCCGGGCTTCTCTTGCCAGCCGTGGGCAAGGTTAAAGCACCACATGGCCAATTAGCAGCTCAGCAACTCCCTCAGCTAACGAGGAGCTTAAAAATACTGCTTTAAAAAATATATTTTTACCTTTTCCTTCCTGTGTGTAGCTGGTAGAGCTTGTTCCTGTTTCTCAGAGGGGAAAAAAAAAAGCACATTAGTGAAGTGTCCTCTGCTCTCGTCCCGGGTCCCGCTCGCTCCCTGCCAGGCTCAGAGATCTGCTCCGGGTGGGAACGTGGGGGTGTGGGGTGGGGACAGAGCTCACACATGCTGGGGGGCTTGGAAAAAATAGTTCTGTGTGTGGCCACCACAGATTTGGGCTCTATTTAACTGCCTGGCCCCTCCTCCCTTCCCTCCCAAGGCGACGCGCTCCTCGACGCTGGCGAGTCCATGAAGCGCTTGGCTGAAGTGAAGGACTCACTGGATATTGAAGTCAAACAGAATTTTATTGATCCCCTCCAGAACCTGTGTGACAAAGACCTGAAAGAGATCCAGGTAAACACCTCTATCTTTCTCTCCTCCTCCTCCTCTCTGTCGTTTCTGGCCCCTCCTGGCTGGGGATGTGTGTAGCCACTTGCTGGGGCGTGGTGGGAGCCAGGGACTCGGGTGGTGTTGGTCTGTTCCCCTGCACTGTGTGAGGTTTCTCCCCATGTTCACTGCTATTTCCACTGTGCTGCTCCTGAGCAGCTGATAAGGCTGGATCTGGATTTGAATGGTTCTCCATTGACCATGTTTTATGGAAGGTGCTGTAGGAATAGGGCCCAACACCCGTTCTGGGCTTGCTGAGTTGGGTTCTTTGAGCTGGGAGCTCCCAACTGTGTCACGTTTGGGCTGCCTGGCATTAAACTTCATCATGTTCTTCACAGCTCTGGGCTCTGTTAGGTTAGCAGCCTGGATCCTACAGCAAACTTCCAAGCAGTGAGCAAGTTTCCCTCTAGGTCTCTTAGGCAGCAGCTCAGGAAGGTCCTTTGGTGTCTGGCTGGGGAGACACGGGGCTGTTAGACAAAGACAAGTCCATGCAGAGCATGACCAGGCTTTGCAGCAGGATCCATCCCAACCTGCAGTTCCCAAGGCACCTCTCTTGAAGAATTTTTGCTTGCAGTGGTGGCCCAGATAAAGTAACTGCCAGCTACTGTGTTAGAACTTATCTGTTCTCCAGTTCTGCTGCCCTACAGCTGATTTCAACAGCCCTGCCCTCAGCAGTCACAGGGGATGCAATGCCCAGAACTTGCATCCCAATTCCTGAGCTCCAGAGATCCCTGTAGCTCCTTCTGGGCCCATTCCTCATCTTCCCAAAAGCTCTCAGCTGGAAGGGGGTAAAATCCCATCACCACGCCAGTTTGTGGAGGGATTTTTCTTAGGAAGAAGCCTCCCTGAGCAGCCTGTTGCAGGCCTAGACAACCCTTTTGGTGAAGAAATTTTTCCTAATACCCAGCAGTAGTTCTGGCCAGAGTTTGGATGGTCAGCTCCTCCCTGTCCTGCAGCTCTCCAGCACATCCCAGAGCCTCTCCAGAGGCTGAACAAAGGTGGGAGACACAAAAGTGTGTGCTCCAAGATCAGGTTTCTGAAACCAATGAACCTGGCCTGTAACCAGAGCTGCTTTCCCAGCAGGAGAGCTTGGCTGCTCCCAGTCTCTGGCTTTTCCTTCACTGTCCCTAACCACCCTCTTCCCAGCACCATCTGAAGAAGCTGGAGGGCAGGCGCCTGGACTTTGACTACAAGAAGAAAAGACAGGGCAAAATCCCTGATGAGGAACTTCGACAGGCCATGGAGAAATTTGAAGAGTCCAAGGAAGTAGCAGAGACCAGTATGCACAACCTCCTAGAAACTGATGTGAGTACGTGGGGGGAGCTCTGGCTCCTCCACCCCGGGCTGAGAGCTGCTGGAAAGGGGGTTGGGTGTTCCTTGGGTGTCCCTGAGGGTGGCATCTCTTGAGGGATACAAGTTAGACACTGATTTCCACTCTTGTTCTTCCAAGTTGGGTTTTGGTCTGTGAAAACTCAGATCTGACCCCTCAACGTGTGGCTTGGTGGGCAATCCTCCTTTCTGTAGGCCCTCTCTCTGATCCAGCCCTTGGCCAGAGGAGGAGCTGTGGTTTGTACCACACGGGTGTCTTCTCCTTGTCCTGGTGGGAGTGAGTTTGGGCAGTCATGCAGCAAATTTAGGAAGGGTTTGAACAGCTCACAAAGCCCAGGGAGGTGCAGGAGGTGTCCTCTATCCTGATGAGCCTCTGGCGTGTGAAAACCCAAACCTCCTTCTCACCTCCCCGGGGAAGTTGCTCTTTGTACACATCCCCCAGCACGATCTCGTGCAGTGTCAGCTGAGGAGAACCATTCCTCCCCCCTTGGTGTGGTCCTTGCAGATCGAGCAGGTGAGCCAGCTCTCAGCCCTGGTGGATGCCCAGCTGGACTATCACCGCCAGGCCGTGCAGATCCTGGACGAGCTCGCCGAAAAACTCAAACGCAGGTGAGGCCCCAGGGGGCTGGAGCCACTGCTGGGGGTCTGGGGTCACAGCCACCAGCCCTCCCCGTGGTCCTTCACAGCATACCAGCGTGGTGGGGTTGGGAGGGAGCTC